TTGCTACATATCTCCCTGTCACCATCATCGGCCAAGTTAATTACTAACTCATCCTCTTGTATTTTATTTAATAAATCCTGTAGCTTTTCAATAACATCTTGCCTATGAAGCTAAACTGCCTTTTGTATAATATTTCGTGTGATTCCCCACAATTCTTCATATAGCTTCCATTTATTAATATTTTCTTTTCTTTCATTCCAGAGATCGGTCATAGGTGTAAACAATCTATTCATATTAGATCTAGCAAATTCTACAGGTTGGTCTTGAGAATAATTTTTACTAAATCATGCGGCAATATAATAGGGTTCTTTTTGTAAATCACTATGAATATCCATATACCACCTTTTATAAATATATGTAATATGGAATACGGCTACACAACTATATAACATCACCTTAAAGAAGTGACGGCAAACTAACCCATGGCTTACAAGCCTAAACAAGAACATACATAGGTTTTATCAGAAAGAAGAATGACAAAATGACAGAATGTGGGGGATGTAATTATACGAATAGCCCAGATTTCTACTACTTCATTGATGTCTATATTGTCTAATATGTAGTTGATAGAAATCTGCATGATATCTTCATTGCTTCGACAAACAAGGTATCATTGGACTCAGGCTTTAAATATCATATATGGTTTTGTAAGTATAGTATCATTTACAATACTATCTTTAAGAATAATATAATACGGGTTTGGGTCAAAATTCTAAAAGCAAAATCCTGAACCTTAATTATCACATAGTGTGATATTGGTTCAATCTTATGATAAGTCATCATGATAACTAGAGTTTAAACTGACATCACACGATATGATAATTAAGATTTGGAATTTTGACTTTTGAAATTTTGATCCAAACCCATATAATACATACCTCTTGATATTTAATCATTTCGTCTTTTGTAATAGTAGTCATATTATAATTTAGACAACTTTTGATTTCAATATGCTGAATTTTTTGCATTTCGAGTATAATAAAATAGCTAAAAGCCTTATTGAGTTCTTGAAATAATGCTTGCAGTAGTGTAGTTGTAGATGACGTCAACGGAATTTGGGTTTTTCAATAAGCATATTTTGCTTTTTTACTTTCTTCTTCTATACTTGCTTCTAGCACTTCAGCGAGTTCAATAAAACTAACATTGGAGTTTAAAATCAGCCTTTTTACTTGAGCATTATAACTCTTAACATGGGATGTTATTTGTATGCCAGCAGTAAAGACCTTCGCGGTATACGCACGTGCCCATGCTTTTTTTGAAGAATATAATATTCGCAAATACTTTACTACCCTAGATTCATTATATTTTCCAACCAACTGTGTCCACTTTTGTTCAAAAACTTCTGGGACAAGTAAATTTCTAGGTTGATAAAAGTCTTTAATAAATTCATGATACTGTTGACCCAACTTAGCCTCGAGGTTTCAAGGAAGATTTGATGAGATATAGAAAATACAATGCATTGCATATGATTGTTCATACTCCTCAGAGATTGCAAGGTCCAAAGCCAGATTGGTATCAGACATAATAACAGCAGGTACACAACCACCTGTAGCTTGTTTGGTCTAATGTAAAATCTATCTGTATGAATCTGCTGATTTATTGTTCATAAGTGCATATCCAACTAATCGGAAAGACCCATAATTGTCAACACATAAGAAAAATGAGAGAGCCATATCATATTGGTTTGTTTTTGTGGTATTGTCATTTAATATAATCTTACTAAACTCTATCCAAAGGATAATCTGATCGGAAGATATTCAAAATAGTCTTTAAAGACTATGCAATTCTCAGTCTTAATCAATTGCAATATACCAATGAGGGTCTTCATTTTTTCTTTTTATTAATTCTTCATACAAGGATGCAGAATCATTTGATATATCCTTTCATTTCTCTTTATAATATTTTGCCATTGCCTTATGGATTTCAGAAAGATAAACTTCATGATCAGAGAATTCTTTGTATAAAGCTTTCTGAATCTGTAGCGGCTTTAAATTAATATCATTTACATAAAATTCTATTCACTTATACATTTCTTGAGTAAGTTCATTATCATTAAAGAACTTTGTTCGATAAGAGGACAAATTATGATTATATTC